CTATCTATCTATCTATCTATCTATCTATCTATCTATCTATCTATCTAATTACTAAATGAATAAATACATTTACTATGCTTTGGAGCTGTCAGAGTTTGGTTGTTTTCTCGTCAACCTTTCATTACCAAACTAGGTAATGGCATCAAACCTGAGGATTGGCGTTCCAGCTATTTTCCGTGTCGGTCTTGCTTTTCTGCTCTGCACGCGGAAGCCCGGCTCATATTTGCCCCCTACAAAATCCACCCCGCGATGCACGACGACGCTGTCCCCGTCTCCACAATCCTCCAATGCCGCCGCAAAGCAGAGGGGGGTGGGTGGGGGGAAAGGATGAGAATCCCGCTTCTTCATCCTTGACGGTACTTTCCGCGTCTTCGTTGCGGTCGAAAGACGCGGGAAAAGGGGAGGGCTGATATCTTCCCTCCCCTGGACGGGGTTTCGAACCCAGAGTTTGCAACCAATGGAGGGGAGTTTTTGCCCCACGTAGGACGCCGAAATGTCCGCCCGGGTGGGAATCACGTTGTAGGAGCAACGATGACCTGGGATTACTTTCACCCTGGCGCATCGTGTGCATTTTTTCAACTTCCCCAGAATCCGAGAGGGCAAGAATAGCCTCCCACGGGCCCCGAAGGCCACTCTGGAAGCTGGAAACAGGCCCATTTCTGGACTTCCGGAACTTCTGGGAGCACCGTTTTTCACCTTCCCCAGAGTCTGGAGGCTTCCACTTGGGACTCAGGGAGGGAGAAAATGGCCTCCCCCAGGCTCCAGAGGCCCCTCCGGATGCCGGAAAACAGACCCGTTTCTGCCGTACTAGACACCGTACTAGGAGGAGACTCTATGGTCAGTGGGGAACCATACTTCCAGACAGCAGGGGATAAAAAAGGATGCCGGGCTAGGAGGAGACTCTATGGTGGAGGAACTGGACTTCTGGTCTGCTCCAGAATTGAATGGGGGAGGGGGGGGGCTTCCGGTTAGGACCTGTGTGGCTCTTGGGGTATCTAAGATGGCCGACCATTCCAGACAAAATGGCTGCCCTGTCTCCTCTCTGACCTGCTCCTTGCTTCTCTTTCAGGGGCCCATGGAGGACCATGAAGCCATGGAAGATGGTGAGGGGCACCACAGGGGGACGGTTTGCCTCGGGGAGTGGGTGTTGAAGCATAGGATAGAACAGGAGGGCACCTCGGAGGTCATCTAGTCTGGCCCCCTGCTTGAGCACGAGACCCCCTACCGAATCAGAATCTTGGAAAGGAACCTCGGAGGTCTTCTGGCCCGACCCCCTCCCCTGGCTCAAGTGGGAGACTCTTGACGGGAGGACAGAATAAGGGAGGGGGACCTCGGAGGTCATCTAGCCCCCTGCCCAAAGCAGAAGACCCAATACCATTTCAGACCAAGTGACTCTCCAGTCTCTTCTTAAAAGAGATGGGAGAGCCACAACTTCTAGTGGCAAGCCGTTCCACTGGTTAATTCTCCTCACTTTCTATCTATCTATCTATCTATCTATCTATCTATCTATCTATCTATCTATCTATCTATCTATCTATCTATCTATCTATCTATCCATCCATCCATCCATCCATCCATCCATCCTCTGTATCAGTCCATCTATTTATATATCTATCTACATCTAGCATCTGTCTTTGTCTATCGTCAAACTATCATCAATATCATCTATCCACCTACCACTATCATCTCTCTCTCTCTCTCTCTCTCCCCCCTCTCTCTCTCTCTCTCTCTCTCTCTCTCTATCTTCTATCATCTCTATGTATCTATCCATCCATTCATCATGTTTCCCTTGAGGGCCCCGCCTGTTTCCTGTTGCTGGGCTCCTGGTGTCTTGGTCTCTGGGTGTATGTGTGCTTGGGGTGTCCCTGCGTGGATGTGGGTGTGTGTTTGTGTGTGCGCTTGTGTGTGTGTGTGTAAGGGGGGGGGCTCTTTTCCTCTCTCCTTTTCTTTCCACTCACGTGATTTTCTAGGCAGCCGAGCGAGACTTTTCGCTTCCTTTGGCTGTTGAGATGCGGTTGAGAATTCCCCCCGCCATCCTCCCTGCCATTGGGGAGGGGAAGAGCAGAGGGCTGGACTACATGACTTCCCAGGTCCCTTCCAGTTGTCATTCAATCAAGTCATGTCAATGCTTCAATCAAGTCATGTCAATGCTTCAATCAAGGTCTGCAACTTGAACAGGGTTGGGCTAGATGACCTTCCAGGTCCCTTCCAACTGAATGATTCTGTCAGGGGCTCCTGCTGGAGCAGGGGGTTGGGCTAGATGACCTCCGAGGTCCCTTCCAACTGTATGATTCTGTCAGGGGCTCCTGCTGGAGCAGGGGGTTGGGCTAGATGACCTCCAAGGTCTCTTCCAGCTGTCATTCTATGCTTCTATCAGGTCTGCAGCTTGAACGGGGTTGGGCCAGATGACCTCGCAGGTCCCTTCCAACTGTATAATTCTGTCAGGAGCTCCTGCTGGAGCAGGGGATTGCACTAGATGACCTCAGAGGTCCCTTCCAACTGTGATTCTGTTAAGGTCTGCTCCTTGAGCTGGGTGTGGGGGGAGGGTTGGACTAGATGACCTCTGAAGTCCCTTCCGACTCTATGACTCTGTATGTCTCTGGCTGGGGCAGGGGGTTGGACTAGATGACCTCCAAGATCCTCTCCAACTCTGTTTTTGTATAAGTCTCCTGCTTGAGCAAGGGGTTGGCTAGATGACCTCCAAGGTCCCTTCCAACCGCTATTGTATGATTCTGTGGAGGTCTGCCGCTTGAGCTAGATGACCTGAGGTCCCCTCCCACGCTGTGATTGTGTCAAGGTCTCCTGCTGGAGCAAGGGGTTGGATTAGATGACCTCCAAGGTCCTCTCCAACTCTTATTATGGTCCTATCGTTCTGTCAGGGTCTCCCGCTTGAGAAGGAGGCTGAAGAAGATGACCTCTGAGGTGCCTTCCAATAATGTTCCATGGTTCTGTCAGGGTCTCCCTCTTGGGCGGGGGGGGGGGCTGGAGGGTTGGGCTGGATGACCTCCGAGATCCCTCCCCACTGTGTGATTCTGTCATTCTGTCAGGGTCTCCTGCTGGAGCAGAGGGCTGGAATTGGCGGGTGGGGGGGAAGGCATCCAGTTACCCAGGAATAGCCATAGAAGACACAAGGACAAGGGGGCCCACTTTTCGGCTTCTTTTCCGGGCCCATTTTGAGCCTTTTATCAGGTCAAAAACAACCCGGAAAATGGCCCGAAAATGGCCTGAAGAACTGCCTGAGAAGGCCTCAAGGACAGCCCAAAAATGGCCGAAAAACAGCCTGAAAATGGGCCAAGAAACCCCCCCAAAACTGCCTAAAAAGTCCTGAATACCTTCCTGAAAACACCCCAAAAACTCCCTGAGATGGCCTGAAAAACTACCTGAGAAATGGCCTGCAAATGGGCCGAAAAAACATCCCACAAAATGTCTGAAAAATGGCCTGAAAAACTGCCTGAAAA